ACCTGAACATTAAGATCAGGTTAGATCCAGATCAGATTGAATCCAGATTAAATCCAGATCAGATTGAATCCAGATTAAATCCAGATCAGATTTAATCCAAATTAAATCCAGATCAGATTGAATCCAGATTTAATCCAGATCAGATTGAATCCAGATCAGATTAAATCCAGATCAGATTGAATCCAGATCAGATTGAATCCAGATCAGATTGAATCCAGATCAGATTTAATCCAGATCAAATTCAGATCAGATTGAATCCAGATCAGATTGAACCCAGATCAGATTTAATCCAGATTAAATCCAGCTCAGATTGAATCCAGATCAGGTTGAATCCAGATCAGATTAAATCCAGATTATATCCAGATCAGATTAAATCCAGATCCAGTTCAGTGTTTCTGGTTTCATCTGGTCTCAGATCAGCTGGTTTCTCTGTCATCCTCTGAACGGTGGCAGCATCATGCAGACGAACTTTGTCTTTCTCTGAGTTTTCATCCAGAACCTCTGATGGTTTCCACCAGAACCAGCAGCTCTCCACTTCCTGTCACTTCTAGAAACACAGATCTATGTTCTGATCAGGAAGTGTTGCAGTGACAGACTCTGTTCTGCTGCAGATCCAGATCCAGGAGCCGTTTACTCATCGGTGAAGAGAGAGAGAGGCGTGACGTACGCGACGGTCAGCATCAGGACCAGGAGAGGTGAGGCTGCTCTGGGTGACCTTTGACCTCTCTGCACCGCCGCCTCACCTTCACTGAATCTGATTTTAATTATTTATTAAACGCAGTAAAATTCAGAAATGTTTACAAACAAATCCTGATTTTATTGATCAGAATCGACTAAATTTTGTTCCATTATTTCCATTTTTGCCTAAAATATTATATATTTTTTTAATAAGGAAAAATCTGAAAAACATTTTAAAGTTTGGATCTGTAATAATTTAAACTGTCTTTATTTATGTATTTAAAGTGCTGCATGCTGAGGTTATGAACATTATTTTTACCCATGTGAAAAACAGTTTTACTTCTCGCCGTAGATGTTTACAGCAGCAACAGTGTTGCCATGGTAACAGGTAAAGACGTGAGAACAGCTGCTGATTGGTCAGATGTTGGTCAACCCAGTTAATCCCATTCAGCCTTTGAGCGATGAACCAGTCAGACTGGAGACGGGATGTCGTCTCCATGGAGACGGGACGTCGTCTCCGTCGTCTCCGTGGAGACGGTTCCTAACCCGGGTTCTGTTTCCCTCCAGAACCAGCAGCGGAACCAGACCAACACGTCGTTTACTCCCTGCTGAAGTGGAGAGCGACCCAACCGGATCCGGCCGACCCGTCCAAATGCTGACCTGACCTCTGACCTCTGACCAAACCCAGAGCCCGACCAGAACCAGCTGGTTCTGTTCATCTGGGTTCTGTCCTGCTGACTCGTCGTTTAAATTCATTAAAATCTCAAAAGACGTTAATATTTATATTTATACATAGAAAATAAATTATAAAAGCTGCAGAGAAGAAATGTAGCTGATAGCGAAAATTCAACCTGGAAGACTCCATCACCTCCGTTCGTCCATCGGCGTCATGCTCATCTCTGACCTCAGCTCTGGGCCTCACCTGGCGTGTCCAATCATCAATCAAGCTCAGCATAAAAGGATCCACACCGAAGCCGTCGGCCGCTTCCCAGCTGCGTTCAACCCACCACCTCCCCTTCTCCACCCTCATCCTTCGGCTCTCCAGGATGGAACCTTTTCCTGACCTCCACCACCAGTGTCGGGCCCTGGGGGAGAGCATCCCTAATCGGTTATCGGGATGTTCATCGAGTTCACATCAAATCTCAGATCAGCTGCCGGGCCGAGCGCCAAAGAACTGTTATTCATTGCCGTCATTAAACCTTTTAATTGTTCCTTTTTCTTCGTCTGAGTCTTTCCAGATTGAAATGATGATGATGATGATAATGACGAAGTTTAATCTTTATTTAGTGAATTTAATAAACTTCATGTTGAACAAATGAAAACAAAGATTTTCTATCAGAATCATTTTATCACAATTAAACTAAAACTTTTTACAGTGAACTGGAATATTTACAATAAAATAAAAATACCAAACAGGAAGATTTATGTTTTATTTACAGTGTAACAAACTTTATGACATCGTTCCTGCTCTGTTTCCATGGAAACGTAGATGAAAGATGGACTCTTCCTCACTCATCATCATCACTTCCTGAATGTTCCTGGTTCTTCGGAGCTCAGAGGATTTTAACATTGATGGATATTTGGTGCTGAAACTGTTAGCAGGTCTGAATCAGCGTATCCATGGTAACGGGTGTCATGGCGGAGGTCAGATCATCATGTTGATCTGATCGGTTCAGTAGATTACAGACGATAATTATGGATCATTAAACTCAGATTACTGGTAAAATATCATTAAAAGTTTCTTTAAAACTAATAAAGTTCAGAAACTTCATGAGTCGCTTCAGGTTTCAGTTTTTCTCTTTATGATCAGAAGGAAAACTTGTTTTCTTTCTCATCATTTTAATGATTTGTGCTGTTTTTATGGATATTCTCTGCTGTACTTTGTGTTCAGGTTATTTTCTAGTTTTTATTTTTATTGTTTTCTTTATTATTGTTGCTTATTAAATAAGTTTTTCTGGCTGAATGTTTCTATGAGGACCTTTAATGCAGATCATTTCTGGCTCTTATAATATTTGACTCTATTTTAGTGTTTTAATCAGATTTATGGGCAGAAACAGCAGAAAGTGAAATCTGAACAGTTTGATGGAGAAAATGAGACGCTTTTAGGATTCAGGTTTTTAGAAATCTGTTAGACTGTTTTGCTGTTTCTCTGTTTTGTTTTGTGAGATGATCTGAGCCTTGGATCATTTTTTAATATTTTGTTCCCAACAAGAAGAAAAACAATCCACAGAAGAAGACTTGATCCAAGAACCGAACCCTGACAGTAACTGCATGAACCTCATTTTGTTCTTTCATTCATTGGAACGATGGCAGTTTGTGGGTTTCTCCCCTGGAAACAGAGACATTAGTTATGATCATCATCTGTGACGTTTCATCATCGTTTCAGCTCCAAGCTGATCAGCTGGTCAATCTTTGCTCCTCTAACTTTCTCTCCAACTCTCAGTTTCTGTTTCTGACCACAGATCAGATCACATTAATCACATTCATATCTTCATCACAACCACAGCACATCACTTCCTGTCCAACACCAGACCCACATGGCTCAGAGACATTTTCTCCAGCTCTCGCTAGCAGCTGCTGAGCTGAAACAGCAGAAAAAGTTTTAAATGTCAGATTTTTCCGTCCATCAGCAGCAGAAAAGCAACAGGATGAATAAATGATTGTTACTGACAGACATGATGATGGAGGGATTGAAATCCTGGTCAGACCATAAACATCTGATCATATGGATCAATAAAATCTCACAAACAGATTTTGTTCTCTAAATGAATCATGTTTAGATAGAGACAGATTTATGTTACCAAACCAGCCAGATTCTGTTTTCACTCATTTCATCCTGATTACTTTGTTTATTCTTCAGGTTGTTTCAGGAGTTTAATGTTAATTATAAATGTTTGAACCCTAAAGCTGATATAGTCAAATCTACAGGTGTCACATCTACTTTATGAAGTTCTAGTTGAATCTCTACTGTAAAAAAAAGATCAGCTTTGATTATTTATTGGCACAGAGAGAAAAATCACCAAACAGAGCAGAGGGATGAAGAGCAGCAGGAGGAGCCGCTCAGCAGACTTTATTCTGAAAATACAGAACAACGTCAGGATTTAAATCAAGTCCAGCTGCAGGTTTCCAGGACTCCCAGTTTGGTAACTGGCTGCTGCTGGTTTGTGTTTCTGGTGAAACCTGTCAGTCCAGGACTGAAATAAATGTTCCAGTTCAGTTCAACTGAAGCAAATCCTTGTTTTTAAATCACCTAACAGACAATGAAGCTCATTTAGCATAAATATTTTTTAAATAACAGTATTTTACCACTGATTTGCACAATTACATTTCGCATCGCGATTCAGTTACATAAATAATAAATGATCCTTTGATCGTTTGTCGTCTCTAAGAGCTGAAAGGTTTTCTGACGGGTTTCCAGTGATGCATTTCCTCTGCTGCTTGGCGTCGCAGGCTGCAAGTTTCTCACAGAAACTTTCATTTCTGCACCAAACACAAAAACTAAAGGCCGACTGGAGGAGCGACACGTAAATGGAGGAACTGAAACTGAAACCAGCTGAAGATACAGGAAATATTTCAATTCCTAAAAGGTTTAAGACGCAGCAGAGACCCAGTTAAAGATCCAGTTTACGTTGTACCAGGCATTTCAACAGAACAGGAGCGTTTCTATGGAAACCGTGGTTCTGGTTCTGGTTCTGGTGAGGAAACAGTCCAAGTTGTTCCTGAAGTCAGTCGTCATTAACCAGACAAACTAAACCAGAGTTGGAGTATTTTCCTTACCTGCTCTGAAGTCGTTCAGTAGAAATCCAGATAATCAATAATCAATAATTATATCTGATGAGTTAAAGTTCAGTCTGAGAGGCTCTGAGTCTGCAGAGAACCTGGGTAAGTTTCCACCAATCAGAGGCGTTCTGACAGAACAGGATCAGTGAACCTGTCTGGACTCGTCGTCTCCAGCTCAGGTTCTAGAAATTGATCCTGTAGATCATCTGCTGATCACAGCTGATCGGCTGAACATGCAGACGTTCCCACTCTGCAGCGGAAACATCCAACAAAACCAGAGCAACCTCTCCGTCTCTGGTAAACAGGCCCTGCAGCAGGTCAAAGGTCAGGGCCCCACGCTGCACCAGGCTGATGGTCCATTTCTTGGCTGATGTTTTTCTGCAGCCTCTTCATCAGGCAGGAGGATGAGGAGCATCCAGAGCCGAACCCTTCAGGCTGCAGGGCTCAAGCTTCACCTCATGGACACATAAATACACAGAGCTCTACTTTATTGTTCATCTGTTTATGTTTATTTTATTATTTATCCATTTATTTCTTGTGTAATAAATTTCTTACTCTGGGATCTGAGTACAAACTTCATACCACAAACTATCAAGGTGAGAATAAAAAAATCCTTCAACCTTGATGAACTTGCAGGATTCCGCAGCAGGTCCAAACGGTCGGGTTCTGGTTCTGCTGCAGGTTCTGGTTGTGTGTGTGACGCCATCAGAGCTTGAGATCCCAGAATGCCTCTGGACAGACCTGCTGCTCAGCCTCTGGTTTTAAGGTTTGAATCCCATCAGATTTTCTTTCTCCATCACTAAAAGAAGGAAACCAGCAGCTAAGGTCAAAGGTCAAACTCAGATTTGAGTATTCTTTAATCTGTGAGTCTTTACTGCAATCAGGAAGAAGCACCAAGTAATTAATGCCTGTCCACATGGGGGCGCCGCAGAGCTCAGTATTAGGCCCCTTCCTGTTTATTATCTGTTTTAATGAATTCAGACAAAATGCTTCAGAAGCTGATATGCAGTTTTATGCTGATGACTCAATTATTTACTGATTTGACCTGATCAACAGGACGAAGACCTGGTGGTCTGAACTTTGACTAGACTCACAATATGACATTAAAACCCTGGTCAGAGTCACAGCTCTGCTTTTTATGGCCCTAATATGTTAATATGAATTATAAACAGGCTTTTCATCTCTTTTGAAAAATCCATTCATGTATGACAAACCAAACCACAGAAACATGAGAGCTGATGCCTTAAAACTGACAGAAAAACTGATCAGTGTGAGGAAAGTAGAGAGTACAGATTATAATTAAAATAAACGTTTATTAAAGCCTGGATGATCCCGGCGCTGCAGGGCCTGCACAGAATTATGGTTTAGTGTTTTATTGTCAATAACTGTTATTAAATGCTCAGACATTCACTTTAAAAGAGTCTTAAACTCAGCTGCACATTACTCTAAGCCACATGTGTCAAACTCAAGGCCCGCGGGCCACATGTGGCCCGCCATGTCATTTTATGTGG